AAAAAAAAAAAAAAAAAAAAAAAAAAAAAAAGCAGAAAAGAAACACGAAAGAGAACCCACTCACCTAAAATGTAGTCTTGATAGGCCCTGGATTACTCACAGAGCAAAAGTTGATTTGTTTGGAAAATTCTAGGCAAAGTGGTTTTTTTTTCCTTCTGGAATAAAACTATGTAAACTAGAACCTGGCTTATCACAACAGTTACAATCACTGTGTGAATCGTCATTTTGAAAGAAACCTAAAAAACCAAAAAAAAAAAAAAAAAAAAAAAAAAAACATAAGTAGGCAAGAGTATCCCAGGTACTTCCAGTGCTCGTCAAGGGCTTCTGTCTCCACATCCTTGCTTGAAATTCCAAACCAACAAGGATTTGAGTATGAATTGTCTACTAATATGTATCATTGTCAGAAGAAACTGGCTTTCCAAACTTAAAAATATCTCAAAATCCAAGTTCTACTTAAAAACAGTAGCATGGGGAGAAATGCCAGATATAGGTGAGGGGGAGGAAGGCAGCAAATCACACTGCCACGTGTGTACCTATGCAACAATCTTGCATGTTCTTCACATGTACCCCAAAACCTAAAATGCAATAAAATAAATAAAACATAAAAAAATTTAAAAAAATAACTTAAGATCTTTCACAAGGTAGGTTTTTGTTGTTATGTGGGGATTTAGGGGGAAGGCAGAGAAGTGAGATTGCTTTTTAATCCAGTGGAAACCACCTAAGTTCTTCTAGGGGTCTTCACTTTTTTTTTAACTTTACTTCACTAGCATCTCAGTTACTTTTTCTCCCAAACACTTCCATAAAGCAGCACTAAAAGAGAGAGCTAATTTCCTAAACTCCCTCTCTAACGGGTTGAAGCCGCCCTTTATTTTCTACAATATCAGCCTGCCAATGGCTCCTCAATAAACAGGGATGAGAGATTCTTAATAATGCATAAGGTTTACTTCACTAAGACTACTAGGTTCCTCCTCATTAATTTCAATGACTGTGTCTAAGGAAAAGATCAGAAAATGCAAATCACATTAGGTTTGGGCTGTATGTAATTAAGTTTCATAAGGCATGATTCAGCCAGTGGCATATCTAATTCTGTGTAATAAGATGTTTTTAAAAAACGGAATGACTACTAAATCAGCAATGCTGAGGGGAGCTTTTAGACTGGCAGAGCAGTTTCCGAAGGTGGTTTCAAGGAAGGTGTCTGAGACTGTAATTAGCGGCAGTCTTTCTTCCCTCACCGCCTTTTATTTTCCCCTTTCCGTTTCTCCTTCCTTCCATTTCTTTGCCCCGACTCAGGCCCCCAGAATGACCTGATCCCACAGAGGAGATGACCAAAGCATGTGCTGTTCACAAACACTGACACGCATGCACCTTAGAGGGCATCAGCGCCTTACTGGCTGCGTGACAATCTCTCTGTGCCTCAGTTTTCTTGCCTATAAAGAGAAGATAAAAATAGTATGCCTACTTCAATTAAAAGAACTAAATCAATTTTGTTAATTATTTACTACAGTGCCAATTACAGTGTGTGTATATGTGTATATACATATAGAGATGCATATTTGTTAAACAAATAGACTTGACTTCAGCACCACTCTTTACAGCTATTTTGTTTTTCCAGCTTTACTGAGGTATAACTGATAAATGAAAACACTGTATCATCTAAGGTGTACAATGTGATCTTTTGATATATATTATGAAATGACTGCCACAGTAAAGCAAATTAACATTTTCGCATTTGTGTGTGTGCTAACACCTGATTTACTCTCGGCAAATTTCAAGTACACAGTAGCGTCATTTAACTACCATCACCAAGCTGCACATTAGATCCCCAGAACTTGATCAACTTTGCACCCTTTGACCCACATCTCCCCTTCTCTCCCACTTGCAGACCCTGGCAACCACCGCGCTGCTCTTTTTCTCTCAGTTCTGCTTTGTTATTTTCCATCTCTATTATTTAGAATTTTCTTTCTTTACAGCCACTTTAAAAATATTCCCCTTCGCACACTGTTTCACTGCGTCTTCACCACAAGGACAGACACTAGCTCCGTCTTCAGATGGGAAAACTGCGGCCCGGCGGCTTCTGCCAGTTGGAAACACAACGGTAGAATTACCGTCACACTTGGGCCTTCTCACGTCGCCGGGCCTCTTTCCACTACACAATACAACTAAACGTGTTAAAGAAAAAACGTGACCCAGTTTAAAGTGTCGGGGATTTAAAAAAAAAAAAAAAAAAAAAAAAAAAAAAGGAACGTCCCTGTCGAGCGAGGAGGCAGAAGAACGAGAGCGAGGGGACCCGGTTCCATTTCTGGACCCCGTCTGCAGGCTGCTCGCCCGACTTGGGGCCGCCCTGCCCTGGGCGCTCAGGACAGCTGGGGAGGCCCAGGGCTGCCCTCTTCTTCCGGAGAGCGAATGGCTCAGATCTCCGCAGAGATGCAGCTGGAAATGCGAGCCCTGGCTCCACAGCTCGCGGCAGTTCCTTGAATGCCACCCAGGTGGGGAACCCCGGGCGCAGCCCAGCTCCCTGCAGTCTCCGGGAAGCTGAGAGCGGGGCCCCGCCCCCGCCCCGGGTCCCTGCGGACCCTGACGTCCTAAGAGGGATGCGGGCCGCGCATGGCCGCCCCCCACATCCTGACCCGCAGGGTCATTAGCCCCGGCCCAGGCCGTTCCCCGAGGATCCCGACGCCCAGGCCTCGCTCGGAGGCGGCTCCTGGCCCGGCCCGGAGGGCACTCACCTTCCTCTCCGGCGCTGGCGCCTCCTCGGCCGCCCAGGTGCGCGCGGTCCCAAGCCTTCGTCTCCCAGCGACCCCGTTGGCCACTTCAAATTCCCGCGGACGGTCGCCGGGACAGTGACGCGCCGGCGCGGCGCCTCTGATTGGACGGGCGGCCGAGCTCGGACCCGGGAGAGCCCCGCCGCCCCAGAGCAACCCCTCTTGGCTGGCGGAATGCTGCTCTCGCTCTAGCTCCGGCGTGGGGCTGCGCTGGACGAACGAGGGCGAAGTTGAACTGGGACATCATTGGAGATGATTTTTGAAAAACGAACAAGCCATGCCTGGAAATGAGGGAGAAAGGAGATGGGATTGAAAGTCAGAAGACACGGTGTTTAGTCGGGCTTCGGTCATTCCTAGGGGCACTGCCTTGGGCAAGTCATTTCACCTCTCAGGCGCCTCACCTGTCCCAGGATGCTGGCCCCACGGCCTGAAAATTCCATCACCAAAATCAGCCTCTCTCTCACTTCTCATTCGAAACATACACACACACGCAGAGTGCATTTTCAAAGAATGTCAAATTTAGTGCTTTTCAAAATTATTGATCAAAGGCAGCTGTAGCATACAATAATAATGGCTAACATTTACTGAGTACTGTGTGCAAGACCCTCTCCTGCATGCTTTACCTGAATTATCTTATTTAATCTTCAAGAACCATCCCATGAGAGAGGAATTATTATTATACCCATTTTACAGAGAACTAATGGAGTCAACGAGAAGTGAAGTAACTTCAATCTAGGCAGTGCTAGGAGGTGAAACCAGCCAGACTCCAGAAGAAACCCTTTAGTGCCTCTGCCAGGCGCTCACTGCCAAGCTGATGAGGGCAGCCTGAGATAGCCCAGGTCACCAGGACACCAGCCGGATGAGTCCACAGGAGGCCAGGAGCCTAGGCATGACACCCGGTGTAGCCTTGTAGGGAAACATTTCCACTTCCTGCTTTGAAGGGAAAGCTGAGCTACAGTCTCTCAGATCCCCTACAGCTGAAATAAAATGGAGCCAGGAGAGGCGATTGAGGAAACCTGCACTGAATTCAGCTAGCTTTGCCAGGAAACAAGATTTCTTTAACTCTTGCGTGCAGAGTCTGACCTTACATTTATTTGTTCACTGAACAAATATATATTGAGCACCATAAGGTGAAAACACAGAAAACCATAAAATCAGGACTAACAACGGACCTTGAGGACTAAGGTAGCTTTTTCATAATCTTCTCCTTTAACAACCTCCTGCCCATAACCTCACAAGTGGCATCATTTCTCCTCACCCATTTTCATCATCACTGGAGACAACACAGCTCTCTTCCCATTTAATTATCAAATATTTCTTCAACCATGAAGATATTACTCAAACCAGTGCTTCTAGAAAATTATTGGAAAGAAATAGGAGGCAACAGGTTAAGACAAAGTATCTATGCTATTGCAAACTCCATTAAAGGGAAACTATCTATTACATGGGATACATTTGCTGGACACAGCCCTTCTTATTTCCAAACCTGTGTCAACACATAGTCACTACTTGTTCAGATCCTATCAGTGGTTTTTAGAGTCTCTCCCTAAGTGGAGACCTGTTAGAAGCACACATTTCTTGGGAATTTTCTTTCCCCTGTAGCCTATCACAACCTTCTACTTGCCCAAAGGTGGACATCACTTACTGCTGTTCCATCTCTCTTATATCATTTATCTTATCACCACTGGGCCCTTACACTCTGTTTACACATGGGCTCACAAATATCTGTGCTCCCCCTAAAAAACTTCCCAAACCCCAACTTCAACCATGAGAAACTGCCCTCTTGCTTTCCTTCTTTGTAGCCCCAAACTTTTCAGTATAGTGCCTCCGTCTCCTGGTTTCCTGAAGGCCAGCAGCCCCTCCTGAGGCCCTCAGCTTCCACCCCACAGCACTGACCTGGCTGACCGCCCACCCCTCTGCTCTTTCCACCTTTGCACTCTGCGTCCTGTGCCTTCATCTCCATTCTGGTTCTCTGACTACAGTACCTGGGTCAGCTGTGGTCTGAAAGGATTAAATGAAAAATTCCAGAAATAAATATCAGTTTCAAATTGTGAGCTCTTCTCAGTAGCAAGACTCATTCCTGTCTGGAAGTGCCCACACTGCATATGCTCCCCATCTGGTAGTCACTGCCAAGGCCCACAGAAAACGTCTCCTTCACCCTTGAAGGCTTGCTGAAAATCAACCAACAAAAGGCAGAGGAATAAGAGAAAAGGCATAAAAATGTATTCATATGCACGGGGTTGGGGACGCCATACAGGATGACTGCACCACACAGTGGGGTAGAGATGGTTGTGCACCCTTCTTCTTGGGGCAAAGGGAGATGAGGAACTGTGGATGATTAGGGGTAGTAAATTTTTGGGGGGAAGAATTCAATGGGCTTAAAGAACATACAAGGACCTGGGACAAAGTCTCTTGAGCACACAGAGCAGACAATGATTTATGATAAAAATCTGTCCAGGGGTATTAAAAAACTCCAGGCTTTCTTCCTGCAACATAAATTCAGTGAATGAAAATTCAGGGTAGAAATGCAAGGTAATTGTTTCCTTCTTTGGTGGGTCAGACATTAGGCAGAAAAAGGAACTTCACTCTGAACAACTTCATCTGTGCTTTGTGAGAGACAGAGGATTGGGACATGGGACAGTGGAGGTAAGAGACTTTGAGGCTGCTTCACCATGACAAAGCACTGTGGTTTGGGGTATCAGTTTCTGGGCCCCAATATCACGTAGTGGCCATCTCAATTATAGTGTATATACTATAATTGTATATATACTATACTATATGTCTATATCTATATCTATATCTATACTATGCTTGTCTGGGAAATACTTCATTTCTTCTTTATGATGCTTAGTTTGTCAGCATATAAAATTATTAGCTGGCATTTCTTTTCTTTAAGGATGCTAAATAACTGACACAAGAGCAGAAGATCAAACACCGCATGTTCTCACTCATAGGTGGGTGTTGAACAACAAGAACGCATGGACACAGGGAGGGGAGCATCACAGACTGGGGTCTGTTGGGGGGAAATAGGGGAGGGACAGCGGGGAGTGGGGAGCTGGGGAGAGAGAGCATGGGGAGAAATGCCAGATATAGGTGATGGGGAGGAAGACAGCAAATCACGCTGCCATGTGTGTACCTATGCAACAATCTTGCATGTTCTTCACATGTACCCCCAAACCTAAAATGCAATTAAAAAATAAAATAAAAAGGATGCTAAATATGGGCCTCAATCTCTTCCGGCTTGTAAGGTTTTTGCTGTTCATCTGCTGGGTTTCCCCTTATGGTTAATATGACCCTTTTCTTTAGCTGACTTTAAGATTTTGTTTTTCACACTGACCTTCGATAGTCTGCTGACTATGAGCCTTGGAGATAGGTGTCTTTTATAGTATCTTGCAGGAGTTCTCTGGATTTCTTATTTCTGCATATTGACCTCTATAGAAAAGTTAGGAAAACTTTCCTGAATCACATTCTCAAATATATTTTGCAAGTTGCTTACTTTCTCTTCTTCTCTCTCAAAAGTACTACTAATATGTCATAGATTTTTATTGCTTTACATAATCTCATGTTTCTCAAAAACTTAGTTCATTAAAAAATTTTTTTCTTCATTTGTGTCTGGGTTGATTCAAAGAACCAATCTTTGAACTCTGAGATTCTTTCATCTGCTTGGTCTATTCTGTTGCTAAGGTTTCAAATGTATTTTGATATTCCCATAGCAAATTTTTAAAAATTTCAATTCCAGAAGTTCTGTTTGATTATTTCATAACTATGTTGTCTTTCAAATCCTGAATCATTTTTCTGTTTCCTTTGTGTTGTATTTCAACTTTCTCTTAGATCTTGTTGAATTTCTTTGCCACCCATACTCTGATTTCTATTTCTGTCATTTCAGACGTTTCTTTCTGATTAGAATCTGTTTCTCAGGAGCTGTCAAGATCCTTTGAAGGTGGCAAAACACTTTGGCTTTTTGTATTACTGGAATTCTTTTGCTGATTTCTTCTCATCTGAGAAAGCTGATGCTTTATGTTTCAAATGTGTTATCATTTGGATGGGGCATTTTGATTTTTTATTCTTTTTTCCTTTGAGGAGTTGATTGTGGTTTATGTTGTGTATAATCAACTGGTTTTATGTCTGAGGGCCTTCAGAGGGCCTGGGTTCCTTGGCTGCAGACAGATTCATATCTTTCTTGGAAACTGCTTGGTGTAGCAATGTGTTTTTGTTTGGTGCTGTAATTCAGACTGCAGTCAAGTCAATGGCACTTCAGAGTAAGAGCCAGCAGGAGGGTCTCACTCTGCCTGTGCTCACCCTCAGCAAGGGGAAGGCAACAGAGAAACACAAGAGGACCCTCCCCCAGAACTGCTGTTCTTCAGCAAAAGCAGAGGCCCTTGAGAAGCTCGAAAAGTGTCTCTTTCAGCCC